CGCTCGTCTCTCTCCACTCTCTCTCTCTCTCTCCTCCTTCTCTCTTCCTCTCTCCTCTCTCTCCTCTCTCTTCTCTCCTCTCCTTTCTCTCTCTCTCTCCTCTCTCTCCTCCTCTCTCTCTCGTCTCCTCTCTCCTCTCTCTCTCTCTCCTCTCCCTGCCATCTCTTCTCTCTCTCTCTCTCCTCTTCTCTCTCTCTCTCTCCTCTCTCTCTCGTCTCTCTCGCTCTCTCTCTCTCTTCTCGTCTTCTCCTCGCTCTCTCATCTCTCTCTCCTCTCTCGCTCTCTCTCTCTTCCTCTCGCTCTCTCTCTCTCTCTCTCTCTGTCTCTCTCTCTCTCCTCTCTCTCTCTCTCTCTCTCTCTCTCTCTCTCTCTCTCTCGCTCTCTCTCTCTCTTCCTCTATCTCTCTCTCGCCATCTCTCTCTTCTCTCTTCCTCTCTCTCCTCTCTCTTCGCTCTCGCTCTCTCTCTTCGCTCTCTCTCTCTCTCTCTCTCTCTCTCTCTCATCTCCTCGCTCTCTCATCTCTCTCTCTCCGTCTTGCGCGCGCTCTCTCGCCTCCTCTCTCTCTCGCGTTGCATCTCTCTTCATCTCTTCGTCGTCCTCACTCTCTCTCTCTCTCTCGATTTACACGTGAAATTATAGCTGCATATACAGTGCGGTTGTTGCTCATGCAGTTGATAGCCCGTGGTATCATGTAGTATAATTATATACATGGTGGTGTGCAACCAGAACCTAAAAATGATAGAGAGCTCACCAAGTTTGCTTAGCTGATTTGTACCTATATTTTCGGATTTTGTTTATACGCGTTCTTAAATAAGTTGAGAACTATAATTTATTTAAATTTCCAACGATCTTGTAATTCATTAGGGTGTATAATGTATGTGTTTCTTTTACCATGTATCACGTATGTCACTGATTGCTGTTATGCTATCAGGAGTGTCATAATATCAGTACTTGCGTATATTAAGAAGGAGAGCGTACAACGGTGAAATGCTGAAACCATGTTGCCGTATTAATCGAATTAATAAACTTTTCCCGTTTTATTTTGACAGCATTTCAGCGTTGTACGTTCTCCTTCTTTATACGCTCAGCCTCTTGATAATATAGACTATATTATGACACTCCTGATCATGGTATTGCACGTGCGTATATCTTGTGTGCAAAGAGCAAGGTAACCGCGTGGGCATGGGCGCATCCTCATGGTTGGTCTTTTTCCCACCGTGCAGTTCGTATTATTTATTAGGGAGCTGGAAGATTTAAAACCAGTTTCCCTGCCACTCCTCCCTAAAGTGCATACACAGGCTTGTGGCAGCAAGTGTGGGTCGAGGTGTCATCATTTACATCTGCCAACAGTACGTGCTGTGCTTTCAGTAATTCATTCATGCTCGAGTTCTAACTTGATTGTGTCCTTTCACTACGGCAGTTCTTTAAAATACACACGGGGTTTGGGGCAGAGAGTGTAAAAAGTAATTTCTGCTGCCTAAAGTTTCTTCATGCTCTTTTACTACTGTTCGTCAAAGCCTGACGACGTGTAGCGTGGTACAGCTGGTACCATCTGGGATACAGGATTGGGAAAAAATATATATGTGTATGCAACAGCAGGGTGCTATAGGAGAGTAAATAATATTCCCGATATAAGAGCAATATAACCTTACATGGTTGCTTGCCTGCATTTGGGTGCGCACAATATAACATCCACCTGGGAAAGGTTCACGTTTTCTTCGCCTCATCCCCGGGGACAATATCAGTGGCTAGGTGAATATATATTATATATAT